AAAAAAACTCCGGCTAAATATTTCTTAATAAATTTTTTGCAATATTACGTTTTTTATTACTCTACCATTTCTTTCCTTCTCACAGTATCTATTAAGTAATTGTGTTTTAGCTTATTTTACATTTTATAAATCGAAAGTAAAATAACAGGTTTTTGAGAATATAGCAGTTTAAATAACGCGTTATAAAGCTATATAACTAGTTAACCGGCCAGTTATTTTTGTGTGTATCGGGCGCTTGTAATTGCCTCGTGGCGCCGGTCTGCATCTCTTGTTCGTTTTGTTGTTCCCTCGGCCGCTGTTTTGTTCCTCGCTTGTTGGTTTTGGGAATTAGCATGTCTTATTAGCATAACTGTCTGATAACAGTTGATTGCTGTTTTAACGGCTACATGTGACTCGATTTTGTTGACTGCAGTAAATCGAATTTTAATTTTATAATTGTTTTATACTGATAGCAGTTTTTTGCAGTCGTATCTTATAAGATGTAATGTGACCTATACTATAGGTATAACTAGAACAAATAGTAAATATTATGTCTCGACTTTCTTTTATTTCACTCATGCAACAGACCAAATATAAAGTGTATTCGTTCTTCATAATAAATTAATAGTACTTATCTGTAGGTTATTCACAATTGAACAATTGTCGTCACCTTGAAATGCTTCGAATACTGATAGTAACAGATAAAAAAGATAAATCTTAAAATATAATCAACGTCGTATTAAAATAAATCAATAATATTTTCAACGAAGCGAAGACGTTCATAATATATGGCCGGTCGCCGAAATGGTAATATTGTTAACGGGGAGTAAAATAACTACGGAGGAAAGCAAAAGGAATACACGATGTTGGGAATTTCTCAATAAGCTGTGCGCGTGGGGCCGACGCGGGCGCCGCCCCGGCGAGCCACCGCCGCGCCGCCATCCATCCGTCTCCGTCGCACGCGCGCGGGTGGCGGCCACGTCGCGGTCACAGTGGCCACCATGGCCACTGCGGCTACCTTGGACACTTTGGCTGCTTTGGCAACCTAGCTGCCAAACAATTTAAAATTGTTTGTATATTATCTACTGCTGATTAAACGTTTCATTAATTATCTACTTGGCCATACTTTAAACACTATTTTCTTTGCCAATCTTATGTATTTTATAATATTTGACGTGTATACTACTTAGCAATATTATGCCATAAAATATTTAATTGGTCATACACAATTTATTCATTTTTTTCGATTAAATATAAGCAGAATAAAGTAATATGCAACACAATATGACGGATGGGACCCCTACCACGCGGCCACCTCGCGCGCCGCGACCTCTGAGCGTTTTCGTTAAAGACCAGACATCGCAGGCTATATCATTAATCTATTACGGCCTTACGGTGGGCTCGTGCATAAAAGATGTTTTTTTTTATTCATCGTTGAAACCTCGGTGCAACGTAACGAGTGCTGGGAACGATTTTCAGTTTTATGGCTCTTAATTAGAATGATTCGGCTCCGATGGCGACTAGCTGTCGCAATGTAATTATATAAACTATATCTGTGTATTTAAAGATGTCTATATTAATAGTGTTTATGGAAGAAAAGATTAACTTGCTTCTAACAAGAAGTTAGTGATAAATGTAGCCTATTAGTAACATGACGAAGACCTTTATAGCCTAACTCTATATGAAAAAATCCAATTCTTATTTATATGTTTGTTGAGTATAATAAAAAGTTGAAATACTCCTTGTCCAATGATGGCAACATTATCCAAATATCGTTATTCCTAAACTGGATTCGAACCCGCCCCCGGCGTCGCCGCGCCGCGCCGCGCCTCCGGGCCTACACGTATTTGTACAACTGTCGGCTAATTACATACTTTGAAAGGACTTTGACTGGCGATACAAATGATTAAGCTCTTCTTCATATTAATTTACTTTTTTAATTTTATCAAGACAATTTTGAAAAATTGTTTTCAAGTCATTTTTATTCAGTTCGTATTTTGTAAATATATTTTATTTTTTAATATGCAGTTCCATCTTAATTTACATATTTGACTTTAAGCAATACTTTTTTATCGGCGGTAAATTTTCGTTCTGCCTGCCCCCTCGTGGATGGATGATGGCGATGGCGACAAGATTTCCAATGGAACCCACCGGACCCCTCTTCACTTAGTTTCTGTATGACTCCAGAAAAATACTTCCTCATGTCTTCACAAAGATTCCGCAATAAGACAACATTTTATAACAGTCTTGATGTCTCGAAACGAGTCAAAGCTATTTTATGATTCCTGAATTTATCTATTTCTAGCTATAAAATTACATTGCATATGGTTTGACTTATGTTTGTCTATAACATGATGCCACTTTTATGGTGACACACGTTTATCAATATAATTATTTATGTCATAGTAGTTGTCGCCCGCGACTCCGTCCGCGCTGATTTAAAAAAAAACAACTTAGTAACTTATGTATTCTTCCAAGGTATATTCTATATCTTTGCCAAATTTCAGCGAGATCAATGCAGCCCTTATGGCGATACCTTGTAACAAACATCCATCCAAACTTTCGCATTTATAATATAATAAGATTTATGCTATACAATAGTGCATAATATTGTAAGATCTTATCATAGTATCATCAATAAAAACACATCCTGTATAGTATTATTACACGCTGTAGTTGCATTAACATGAATGAAGGCTTATAACTTGCCGTAACTATTTCGTTAAACACACAGCGAGTCAGCGAACGACTTCCCCGGTTATTAATGGAGCCTGTCGATGATTCCAAACCGGTCCGAAAAAGACGTAACCGACGGCTATAATTCTGACAGCTGTATTATGCAAGATAAATATCATTTATTGGTATAATTTTACACTTGGTTCTGTGTGCCCCACTTCCCCTGTGCCACAGATGAATTATATAAAGTAAATTGCAAAAATACCGATAATTTTACTTTGATAACGTGTGAAATTTAGTTTTGATATTTAATAATCTGTCAACAAAAAGCACGGGTGGGATTTTTTTGTCTTAATCCATTTACCTCAACTTATTTCTCAATAAATACGTATGATTTTTATCATTTAATTTTTTTCTTATTAATATAAATTCAAAAGTTTTAATGGATGAATGGATGGATGCATCTTCTAACAAAGATCTTTGTTAGAAGCTGCGTGGATCTCTCTGAAATTTGACACAGATGTAGAACATAGCCTGAAGAACGATAGGGATAAGAACGGAATCGCAAGCGACAGTAATTCGTTAATTAAAAAAACAACTCTTAACAAAAATCTAATTTTACAAGTATAAAAATGACATCTGTCAAATTGTATTACCATGAGCGGGAAAAAACGTTCGGAAATGTAATAATTATTGAACTATTCACTTTCAAATCATCTTGTGTGTTTGTAAAAGACGCCAGTAATATAATAAATCAGAGAAATCATAAATTAAAAACAAATTGTTAACAAGAGGTCGGAAAACATCGCAAGCTGTCCACAGGCGAGCCAGCGCCATTATTAAAGTAATTTAGCACTCTCTGAGCGCTGGGCTGCTCTGTAGACTGTGTTTGTTTTGCGGGCGAGAAGTTGCCTCAACCTATTATTACCGTCTCGTTATACTTTTTTACCGCCAGGAGTGGTCAACACTCGGCCATTCAAAATCTGAAATACGCTTTTGCACATTATGAAAATAAGTATTCGTTTACATTTCGCTTTATGCTCACATAAAATGGACATACGCTTATTTGTTGGAATACTCGTTTGAATGCGGCCGCGCTTTTGTACATAATTTATATTTGAATATGTTTTGTTTATGATTGTGATGATATTTAATACTTTACTTTTTTCGGAAATTATTGTCAAGTTTTGAAACTTTCACATTCGCTGACAATTCACTTTTAACCTGACAAATGTAATTTCTTTATCATTATTTTTTTGATGTCTAGAAATAAAAAAAAAACCTATTGTGTTACAAAATAGTTAGTATGTGGCATTTAAAATACTTTTTCTTTTCTGATTATAATCTCTTCTGTCCTATATATTTATTTAAAAAAAAAGATCCAAATGTTGTCAATTTCTTCGACCAGTGTTAACTGACCTCTCGCCGGAGGTGCGGACGCGGAATCAGTAAAAACATGTTATTATTAATAATAATCTCACTTATTCAACTTATTTCAATACGAGTATAAGGTTATCGGGAGATCGATTCTTAGAAATATTTGACTTGACTTAACTGGCCGTTGGGTTAATGTTTAAATTATAATCGTTAACCACCCACGTTGGTAATAAACATTTCTTATAATTTAAGAAATTTCTTAATAAGTATGTCATTTACCGTGAGTTTCTGAGACCAATATTCCCATTTAAAATATATTGCTGTCTCTGTTTTGTCAAAGATAATGATGGAGATAACGATATTTTTATACAGAGACTTTGATCTCAGAAAACGTTAAGTGAAGTGAAGTCCATTCATGTTTGTCTGATTCGTGGAAACAATTTTTTTTTTTCGTATAGACACTAAGTTAATGATATTATGTTTTCTTTAATGAAATGCTTTCGAATGCATAAGTATTTAAAGGATAATTATATATTACTGATAATTGTCAGATAGATTGCACTGGATTACTGTCTCACAAAAAAGTTACGGGAAAAATTGAAAATGTAATTCTTTTTCTACTTCTTTTATTCTTTTCTTTAACATTGGAAGTAAGACAGTTTACCTATAATGTATGAATGTGGATGAAACAAGAGAACTCATCCATGTATGCTTAAAAATTGTGTTTATATTTCTAGAAGACTCTATGAGAATATTTAAATTTATTAGATGTTGGTCAATTCAATTTAACGTTTCTGTGTGAATTTTGTGCTACTGTTTTTTAGATATTACTCTTTATTTCTACGTCTTCATAAACCTTCCAACATCTAATACCTATACCGATATGGCCATCCTTTCCACATCCTCACGTCAGGCTAATCTCGCCTTGATTCATATCATACTAAAGTTCATTTTTCTCACCTTCGTAGGAGCTCATCTATAACCAAAGTCAACGGATGTTGTCAAAGTTGCTGTGGCCCAATCCAGTGCCTAGTGCGCCAAGAGATCCCCACTCAGACCATTTGGTTAGTAGACATTTTGATTTTTAACCTCGAATATAAGACGTTTTATTTTATTTTATTCATCGCAAATCCAACTCAAAACATTGTCTACAATACATCACAAGTTTCGCAATCAATGCTGAAACTTTATATAAAACCTTTTTGGATATAAACTCATTGCTTTGTAAGGCAATTTTATGTAATGCAGAGTATCACCAAACTTGGTATGACAATGAATGCTGAGAAGTATGAAAGTAAAAATGTTTTGAATAAAGACGACTCGCTAATTTACAATATCATCAATAGTTTGAGGTTATAAATGATAGCAAACAGTTGGCAACCAGCAATTTAACAAACACCATTAGACATCAAATTAAAAAAACAATAATGTAACGAATCAACCGTCAAAATAACTCATGTTCCGATGACGCCCCTAACTAGGCCTCTTAAGCTTCGTTTGGATAACTTTTTTTGGGGCGCCAAAAAAAATTGATGTTCGAAATCATAGCGGCAGATGTTAATGATTCTATTATTTATGGTTGAGCCTTGTCTATTATACTTTTTTTTTCAACGGTTACCTATCGGTAACTGGATGCCTTTAAACGGGAGATCGTTCGTCCGTGTAATTCTGTGTATTGTTGAAAACGATTAACAAATAAACACGAACATTTTTTACACAAATACGGTAAAGTTTAACATCTCTATGGGCATTTCGGTTTTGTGTGCGACTGAAAATTATATTCGTCTATTAAAAGAAAGACGTCATCAAACTACTGAGATTTTGTTCTTTTTTTATTTCATAAGGTGGCAAACGAGCGAGCGTCCACCTGAAATCGCTGAAATAGCGAACTTACTGTTGCCCATAGACATACGCAATTGCATATGCGTCCGCCTACCTTTAATCGACGGAGGAGAGGATGCACAGAAAGAAAATATTTTCCCTTCCCATGCATCCTCTCATCCGGAAAATCCACTTCCACTTCCCATCCTTTCCTTATAAGAAAAAGATTGGGAAAGGAAAGGAGGCTAAATTAGGCCTCCGGAACGCACACTCGTCAGATGAAACGCGGAATTGCATCCACTTTACGCCTGTCTTCTGTGGTATTTCACCGGGGCAATTCGTGCGAAGATGTTAAAGCGGACTCTACCACTGTAAAATTAAATGATTGGTTCCTAAAATAAAAAAAAACTAGGCGTTCTAGACCAAATATTTGACCTAAGTACGTAAAAGTTTTATCAGAAAAAATTTGTTTTAATAAAGTGAATAAGCACTCATGTCCTTTTTAACAGACTTCAAAAAGAAGGAGGAGCTTGTCAATTCGTCCGTATCTTTTTTTAATAGTACAAGGTGGTTAATAAGCAAGCGTCTATCTGAAAATGCAAGCAAGAGCAATATATCTGCCTATATCCATGTGCAAAAAGGAAACTATGAATTAGGTGTACATATACCATGTCGTTCATATAGCATCATGTAAAATGCAAAAAATATGATGCACGCATCAATGCGTGGTATATTTGTAAAGCATATCTGACAGCCCTGTGTATGAAATGAGCGTTAATTACTATAAACGGATAGGAATAATCAGAGTTAGAATTCTGATCGCGGATCGAGGTGCTCGGCTAATTCATTAGCAATCTCACTAATGGGCAAATACCTAACACATGTTTCAACAACTCTCAGCAGTTGATTTATACGTTAGTCCACAAATAAGGCAGTCAACATACTCACCAGCTTGGCGCGAATCGAATCATTTCGTTTGATGGATTTGGTGCAAATGATTAAGAAAAAATCGTATTTCAAATATAGAATTCATAATTATATGCGGCCATTTACAAAATTCAATTCGTTTTTTTTATTCAATTATAAAATTGTGCACGTTCAAGTTGACTTATTTGTGGTTTAAAAAAGTTTATTTATTATTTATGGTGTTCGAATTTGTCATTGATTTGTAACATTAATTAATGAATTATTCGTACATGACGTTTTATCTTGTATTAAATTAAGACCAACAATATTAAATAGCAATTTGCGACATGCAAGATATCCAACATAGAATTGATTTTTCTTTGGTTAAATCTTTGATTTTTATTCACGTTTCATATTAATTGAGACATATCGAACTTAAGTATTTATGACCGTATTAATAATTTTTAATATTCGGATGGAATGGAAGTCTATTAAGTATTTAGCCATTAGTTGACTAAAGGAGGTTTTCAAAAACATGGTTTGTAAATTTGGCACAAACATTCTCGTATTTGCTAAATTATGATAAATTTAACCCTTTCATTACCAATATACAGTTGGCATGAACTTTGACCACTAGATCCGCTTTCATAAAGGTTATGGATGCCTCATTTACATCCCGCATAAGTCAAACTTACAAAAGGAAAGCTTTCTCGATTCAAAAAGTACATATCGTATTCACGTTGTTTTAACCTATGGTCTATGATTTCCAAGCATATTGATGTGCTTGGCATGAGATTATTTTAAAATCTCGTTGGCTCCTACGTAAATAATCGTAACTCATAATTTGGCAATTTATTTTTGTACTTTTGCAAGGAGAAAGCAGATTGTAGGTTACTTATGTGAACATTTTTGCTCTACTAATTCAATTTTAGTCTTTTATACAAATTAGTTTTATTAGTACATACTTTAATATGTACTACAAATAACTCTTTGAATAATTAGTAGTTGTGAATTTCTTATTGCGATAATAAATTGTTTTTATAAAGGGTTTATTTTATTTACAGCCGGTCATAGAATTTTATGAGACTTAATGCTACCTTGTAAGCTTAATGTTTTATGTTTTTTTTTTTCGAGTTTAAATATTTTACCTTAATTGTAATCCCCTATAGATTAAGTATTATTTAAACTTTGGTTTTTCATTCTGGTTAATTCAGTTGTCGAAAAATATTTCATGTTTATAAAAAGCTTTCTATTTGATATTGACAAGTGTGGCCTGCCAGTATTTTGTTTTGTTTCAATTTGTTTCTAAAATCACCAGAGTCTATCTACCTATCTTAATGTCTATCTCACAGCGTAACAGCCTTAGGCGCCACCAGTCATCACATCAAGGTGTCTGCAGCCTAATTATATAGGAGAAAAACACCTCTCCAGCCCAAATATTTGTTCATTTCAAACATCCAAGTAAATTAACACCTAATTACGAAATAAATAAGTATAATTTTTCAATAGCACAAACAAACTCGTTATGGAGATGAGCCGGCTAGAAAAACTCGCCTCTCAGAATTGGCGTAAAAGCGACTTAATTACGATATGATTACGGGTTCGTTCCCAAAAAAAACAACAAAACTAACAAGCGTTTGTGTTTGATAATTAAGGTAATAAATAGTTATATTGTCGTTAGACAGCTGGTGTGCCTGTATGTTTGTTTATTGCTCCACTATTTTGACATATGCCGTTTGAGTCGATTGCACGGATCGTAGGAAATTATTTCGACTATCATTAGTTCAGGTGGTTGGGAAATAAAAAAAATGCCAATGGATTATGGTTTTTAGACATTTCATTCCGACTTTTTAATAAGATAAAATTAAATTAATCATTTTAAGATAAACGAAAAAACATAACCTAATGTAGTAATATTAAATAATTATAAAGACCAGTACAATAATTGTAACGTAAACCCAACGAACAAAACAGATTTCTTTATAATATATCTATATTTACTAAATCTTTTTATACATAATCTTTTCTTTTTTCAACACGCAATCTTCCAGTAATATTAATATAGCTATCGAGCAATACTATTAATATGCTCTATCAAGCCAAGAAAAAGTATGTTATTACAGGCAAGGGAAAAATAAGGTCGTGATACCCTCAGCTACTAACCCATCAATATCCAGGCCAATCAATTACTGGGACATCGTAAGTCTATTGCGATCACCCCAGCGCACGACCCCTTGCCATAGACCCAAGGGATTTGTCTATGTTATGTTATACTCTTAAAACCTCCTTGCGTATGCCTTTAGTGGCCAGAGTCAATATTTATTTTTTATTCTGTAAGATATGTAATTGAGTCGTCGATAGGATATGATCGATAACTTTTATTAGAAATGCTTGTGGAAAAATATTATGCTTCTCGATCGAACTTTTATCAATCTTATTCATCGTAAAAAATATGGAAAACAAAAGATCTAGGATTAGGATAGGACTCTATCTAGAAAATTAGTAAATTATGTCAAGGTTTTCGCAATCAATTTTCACATAGAGGCCCTAATTGCGATAATTATAAAATAATTTCCTTATTAACAAGTGTATTTTATTGTCAATTGTTTTTATAATTGCTCCGTATGTCCGCAATGTTTTTTTTAGGAATAGATCGATTAAAAAATATATTTTTCCATTTTGAACTGTAACAAAATCGTTCGCTATCCATCGCCGCATTCCTATGACTGGTGTATAACGTGAGAAACATCCCGCAAGTAACATAGCGCACAACGACCGGTGCCCGTAAAAAGGTAAAGAGCGCGGTAATGGCGTCCGCAACGCTGTTACCTACCAACATGGTGTTCTGTGTTGAATCGTTCGAATCCCAATTCGCTTAGACACACATTTCACACCGGCTAAGATTATGTGCATGTTCACGTGTTTTTCTAGGAATTATTGTATAACATTAGGCATTACACTACATTATAAATATGTAATTTTTATTAAAAAAAAAACAAGTGTAAAAATTAAATTAAAATTAAACATATTTTACCAGGGGACGCATCTGCTTGTCCCCTACGTTATGTTTTGTGGTACTCGAGAAAAACGTCAAATGTGGGTTGTAACAATTTACTCTCTAACCACTCGCTACGAAATAATTTTACACTACGCTATTACTTAAGACCATTTTGATGTTCATTCAAAAAAATAAATTGTTACCCTACATCCGCTATTTGAAGATTCTTTTAACTTTTTCACTGCGCAAATAATTTTCGAAGCATCATCGCGCGGGAACCGTGTTATTGCATATGTCATCAAAGTCGAGTGGGCAGTCTACTTGCGATGCCTTTCAGCT